AGTCTGAAAGTGAACAGAAGCACTGTGAAGCTTGTGGTTTATTTGAAAGCAAGGCAAAACATGAACCAACACACTGTGAAAACTGTGTGGTTATATGGACAGCTTTTTATTGTTTTGCACACTGCTAACAAAAATGTGTTGTCAAAAGGCTCTTACCCTCGCTAGCTTTACAGTCATGTTCTTCTTTTCCCCTCCTATTTACCAAAAGTATATTTATTTTTCCAACAAACAAGCAATTTCAAATGCAACCTTCTAAACTCTTTTTTATTGCAAAATATTTGGGCAAAAAGTTAGGCTAGTCTAACAGAAGTCAGTGGGGTTGCACTAATAAAATTTTAAAGGATTTTTTACTTGCAGTTGTTGAGTTATTCAGCCCATAACGTTTCTGCAGTTCTGTTTTGTAGTGCTAATTGAGCCAAAATGCAAACAGTTTAAGAAGCCAGGTTTGAGTAATTATTCTGAAATTTTGTTTAGAGGTCAGTTTGCTTGCACTGGGAAGAAGGTGAGAAGGGAAACCACAGTGATGGCTGAGGATTGATACTGTGAGGTTAATGTTACAGGCAACTCTCATCGTATGACTGGAGACCAACTTTTGCTCAATTCCCATTAGTGCTAACAGGTATAAATTACCCCTTCATCTAAAAGCAGTGGCAAAAAAAAAGTAATTACTAGACTAATTTAATACAAACAAGCTTCAGCCACTGAAAAGGATTAATTTGCTTTATGCTACAGGAAATGAAGTTACACTAGCTGGTCAAACACAGCTGCCACAGGTTGCCCTTTTGAAGTAAGAATTCCCTCAGCCCAGAGACAGTGTGCTTGCAATTATCTCCACAAACCTCTGCAGCTACCACAGCAGAAACTCAGCAAACATCTGCAATTAATACTGCTGAGATTACATTTAGCAAACAAATGATGCCAGTACGAATGCTTCAGAAGGAAGCTTTTTTTTTTTGACTTTTAAAAGGATTAAAAATACATGAGAAACCACAAAACTCTTTTCTTTCCTATAATTTTAAACTGAGCAAACTACCAGCCCAGTGCTCTGCCAGTTTCATGCCAGAAACTTTGTCTGATGTCCTGCCAGCCTGCTACTGCCTAGATTTCCAGTTTCCCCAAAGATCACATATATTCACAATACCCTGTATGACCCGAGGTTAACTGCTCCAACGTGGGGTTTGTGTGGCGTGCAGCAGATGGATTTCACCCTAGATACTCTCTTAAGCCATATTAACACCTTTTTATGGTAGGTTCACTGTGAGGATAATGCAAATCACATTTAAAAGCAAAAAAAAAGGCAATTATTGGGTGAATAGTAAGGAAAATAGCAGGTGGGGGTGGAGGAAAAGGTTTGCTTCTGGGCAGCAGGACTGCGTGTTAAATGGGATTTTATCTGGATTGAAAGGCTCTCCCGTGTCACTCTGCAAGGTGCCTCTGATGGTGCAGCAGTGGTAGCAGACAGCTGCCTCCTGCAAAAACACTGCTACCCCAGCTGCTGCTGGCTCACAGAGTTTGAAGAGGCTTGCTAGAGGTGCCACACTGTGTGATTTCATTGATAGGAGCTTTTTGGGTGTGTTTAGGAGCGCCGTTGTTAAACTGACTGCTCACAGCAGCAGCTGAACAAAGCACAGCTCTACTTGGCTGAGATGCTGGGACTGGCCCTGGGGAGCACTTTGTGCTGCCAGCCCAGCCAGGTGGGCTTGCTCCAGCTCTTGTGGGGACCTCTCCAACCAGACTCCATCTGATGGAGATGCTGCACGTTAAGTTCATACAAGTTGCCATCACAATGTAACTGAAGAGAATCTTTTGTCTACTTCTGGTTGTCTGGCTTTTATTTTCTCCCTAAATGCCAAACTCCTTAGCACCATCTGGAAAAGCTCTGAGAAGATACAGAGCTTTCAGAAAGGCTTCTCAGTCCTTCTGTATCTGGACCCTCGTGTCTGCCACAGCATGTCATAAGCAAAAGCACTGTGGTCACCTGTTGCTGTCACCTGCAGGACATGAAAGTTGGCTTTCACCTGGGACACATTAGGGGAATGGCTTCCCACACCAAAGGGAGAATACTGCAAGCAGTAGCCAGGAGAAATGTGTATTTGAGAAAGCTCAGGCTTCCCTTCCTATACTCCCTCCCTGCTCATCTGCTCAGAGCAGCATAGCTTCTATCATCACAAAGCCCCAGCAAAGTGCTCGAGGCACCACAGGTAGCTGTATCTAGGCAGCTAACTTCTCATCACTTTCAAATACCATTTTTTAGAGTGATGTTGGCAGCAAAGGAAGAAGCAGCAGCTTCTCCTCTGTCTTTCTTGGTCTTGATGCTACAGGGATTCTGGATATATTTTGTTTTACCCAACAGCTGCTCCAGTTGGTGACCCTGTCACATCTTTACAGAATACCAGATCAACATGACTGACTTCAATTCTTTTTACATGCATAAATACAGAACAAATGTGTGCAGTAGATATATTTAAATAAAAATTAACAAGATGCATTTATTGTTTTCATTTTGTACAAAAGCATAACTTAAAAGGCAACCTAGTATAAACTTACTTTGTGCCAAGTATTTAAGCTTTTCATTCCAAAGAGTTTCTGGTTCAGAACTTGTAGTTACAGTTTCCACCTGGGAAATCTCCTTTTTGGACTGCAGATAACACTGTATTGTAAAATCAAAATTCTCCAGTCCTTCAATCAATCAGAAGTTGCATTCTGCTTTGAGTGCCAGAGGTTTAGCTACTCAGGGAATGGATCACATGAAACATGAGCCATGCTGGAATGACCTGATGAAAAGTCTGTTTGCCTACTGCTCGTTCATGTTCTGAAAAAAGATGTGCATCAGGAGCTGTGACATGCAATCCTAGCACAGACTGATAAATACAGATGTGTAAAAATAGGGTGACATGTTTGGATTTTTCTTTGCTACTTCATACCAGCCAGAAGTAGCGTAAAGAAAAGTATGATACTGAAGTGAGTCCAGATGTCATGCAGAAGCTCAATTATTCCTGAAATAAAAGAATGCTTCCACTCTGATTTTGCAAGTGGCTTTTCCTTTGCACAGGTAGCATTTTCTCAGTAAGCCTGAAGGGTTTCCACAGTCTTTGCAGCCACCTCCACAGCTGCACCTGCCTTCTGACTTGGCAGGTGGAATCGCAGTCTTTGCTGACATCTAACATCTCCACAGATGTTCACCACTGTTGGAAACAACTCCCACAAAAACAGGTGAGAACACTTCAGAAGCTGCTTCTCCCACAGAACAGGACTTGCTGTGCTTGGGTGCTATCAAGAGGACAAGCACAAAGCTAGATTGGTGTTCTTGTCATCCAGTATCCCAGCGCAACTTCCTGGAGTTTTAAACTGATGGATGCACTGCGTGACAGCATCTGTACAAGAAATGGTGCACAGCTGCACAAGTGTTCCACAAGACCATCTGGAGGAAAGTACCAAAAATAGATGCGAGCAAGCCTCGTGTATTTCAGCAAAATTAAGCAGAAAGAAATTGGTGTCCATGCAGTGTTCGATATGCCATAAAAACTCTTTCAAATAACATTTGATAAGAAAACTATTTATCAGTGAAAATACAAGCTTAGACACTATGAACAGTTTACATCTTGTAGGTGTTCACTGACATGGGACAGTGGCATTGGGACCAGTGGCTCACCTTAAAGTAGGTTACTGATGGGTTTCCAAATGAGCTAGTGTTTTATGGTGCTGTACAAATAAAAAGTTGTGGGGAGCATAGGAAATATCTGTATTAAACTCCACTGCATTAAGTTATCCAATGGATGAAAAATGACCCAGATGCATTTAAAATAAATGCATATTACAATATCACATATAGTATTATAAAATTATTACTTATGTGCACAGTCCTGGTATCTCTAGACATGGCACCGTGAGGAAAGTCTGGTTCCTAAGCTTTTTTATAGATACTTGATAGTGATACAGTTTGCTATCAGTCAGATCATAATGTCCCTTCAACTTTGGTACATTCAGTGCAAAATATTTTTGGGAGTTTTTCTTTACACTTATAAAAATAAAAGGCATTTTTTCCCCCTTGAGAGTGCTTAAAGAATAAACACTAGCAGAATGTCTGTTCAAGCATGGATAAAGTGGCAAAAAACAGAAATAGCATTTTAGTTTGCTTGTTTCCTGTTTACACTCTAAGAAACACAAGATAATGAACCTATAAAAATAAACAGAAGTCACTGTGTTAGGGTTTTTTTCCTGATATGCTGTGATAAATTGCTAGATTTCTTCTTAAAATGGTTTCCATGCAGTATAAAGCATAAAATCAGTCTTATTAAGTTCATTATAACAGCTCATTTTTTTTGTCACATACATCACTGGCAAATGCATTTCCACAAACCTCCTTAATGCAAGCCATTGTTGGTTACATCCTTTGTTGCTGACTTTCCTTCCAGTTGACTTCTGCCCCAGGAACTTGAGCTCTGTGGTGCACACCATGCAGGCACTCGTAATCATGGGTGAAGGAAGTCCTGAATATGCTGTTCTATGACATAAAGTAATGTACCTTCATGAATTTAAAAAATAAAATAAAAAATCTACTGTATGATTTTGTGATACTTTACTGGGTAGGCAAGGGTCTGAATGATTTCACATTTTGACTGTATTTTTCTGTTCAACAGGTTTGATGGAATCCAATTTTTGGGCACGTGTCAGTTTTGCAGTAGCCAGGTGGATCACAACATGGGATCATGTTTCTTGTTTGCTCAGAAGATAATCTTAAGAAGTTTGGCTGTCCTGAATAACATGGGATTGCAGGCCTTGGTTTTCCCTGCCCGTCAGGCACATGCTAGTTTCACTGGAGAGAATCCTGCCACTACCACATGGTTTTTAATTGCTTCCTAAGCTCTTTCATGGAACCTCATGATTTGAATTGCACCGTGAAACCATTTTCCTCTAGGAAATCCAAGACAAACGTTCACTCATTCCTTGAGAAGACAGATCCACAAAAGTCCAATGAGCTGGGCACTGTGGTTTGTGTATCACTCAAGTCCAAAAGTACTTGTCTCTTCAACTGCTGTCAACAGTTTTTCATATAACATAGAGAAGGATGGATAAGGGGGAAGGTCCAGACGATTGAAACAAGTGTGAGCCCTGAGGGGAAAAACAAGAGAGGAGGTGAAGAAGTACATTATTTAAAGAGTTCAAAAGAGAACACACAGACTGGTATGTGCTTGCGTAGGGATGGGCAGAGAGTGTTCTTTCAGAAGACTTTGTTCTGTCAAATGAGGTTTTCCAACTGACCAGGCAGTGAGGTTTAATATATTTTCTTCTAATTAAAATAAGCCAGTAAGATGCTTTTAGGAAGGTCTTTAGAAACACACTGACAGCTCAAGAAGGGATGAGATAAAATTTATCCATTAAATATGCACGAGAAAAGAGTAATGTAGCCTGGTACAATTCAAAGTCTGTTCTAAAATCTTGGCTTTAAGGATATCTTCTGAGAGATAGTATTTTTTTCTGAACTGATGATACTTGAATACTGTATTTGTATTCATAAACAAGATAAGTCAGTACATTGAATATGCATAAGATATTACATTTGATAAAATGTTAAAAATACCCTAGCTATACAGGAAACAATCCATAGTAGTGAAGGACAGACAAATTAGATGCTCTTCCTTTTACATTTCCTTGGCACACAGATTGTGTTCATGGGGAGTTACTACTTGTGCTGATTTACAGTAGGTGCATACCTGGCCCAGCAAGACAACAACCTTTAGAATAATACTTTCTGTAATTACACAGAACTATGCATGTACCTCTAGCATACTACCCTGCTTGCTTTAGAGGACAACCACATGGCTTATTTCTCAATTTCTGAAGTCCATCTTCCTCACTTTTTTGACACACTTGGAACTGACTCTCAAAATCTCTTCTAAGGAGTGGAAAGGGTGATAATAAAGGTTTCTTATCATAGTTGAATAATGGATTTTCATTGCCTGACCTCTGGGCAGGCTAAGGATAATACTTTGTGAAACACTCTAGTGGATGAGCCTACTCCACTGAAATAGACAGCATAACTATTAATGTGATGGGTTCTTGAGGAAGAAATGATGTGAAGAGAAGCTGGAGGAAGCCTCTTCTCTGCTCTGAAGCTTTGTACCAAAGCCTCACTTTAGACTGATTTTAGAGGATGAAAACCTTTTTGTATTTTGGCAGGTTTCTGTTTACAAATACTTTGTTCTTTCACAATAAAACATATCACACAGTTATTTAAATACAATGCAGCTGAAAACCAAACTTTTCTTGCAGTGACCTGCCCTCCACCAGTATAGTCCCTATTAAGAGTAAATGTGTAACAATGTCAGCGGAAGGACTGAACAAACTCCTTGCCTGCAGCAAATACAACTCCTCATTTAACCTAACCACTCCCAGAAATCTGTCTACAAAAGACCTGTACTGAGTTTTCTTTGAGCCAGAAAGTGCTGCCTTCCATGGGAACAAATTCATTAATTAGTTTTAAGTGGCTCTCAGCTCCCAGCTACGGGGATGGAACATGAAATGAAGTGGATTAATCTCGTTTGTTGAAAACATAAAGAGTCCACTACAAACACTAACTGCAGCTGAAACACTCTTAGTTACAGCCTTAGAGTGTCATAAAAATGTCAGGCTGAACAACTGTATACACAGTACAGAAGGTCACACTATTACTGTAAACACAGTCCAAACATCAAATATGCAATTACCTAGAAAAACAACACTGAATTTTGCACCCTCCCCAAATACAGCACGCTTAGTACACTGCTAGGACATGCTGCACAGCAGAGAGGACATTTCCCCACACTGTATTCCAAGGGCCTGGTAAAATTTGTCCATTCAGCCATCCCTCTAAAGCTCCTGGAGGAAAGTCTGCTTTGTACTCCTCATTTGCCTTTCCAAAACCCTCATGAAGTAGTATCTGTGATACAAATTACTGCATTTCCTGCAGAGTACTTTAAAAACAAACAGAAGCCCAAACTCAACTCCTCTTTTGAAGAAAGTGACTGATTTAGACCCAGCAGCAAATGGACAACTGGAACACAGTGATCCCTTGAGTTCAGTGTGGTGTGGAAGAGTCTTAGGCAATTAACAGTCTAACCACATGCTTCTGCATGGGGCTGACAGCCACTCATTAGAACTATGGATCATGCTGTGTGGGCTGTAAAACCACAAATTATAAAAGGCACAGTATATAATTAGCAAGGGATTCATTACAAACTGGCTTAATAGTAAGCTGGCGTGTTGTTTGCATTTATTAAGAGAACTGAGTTTTATCTTAATGTTGAGGGCAATTCTGAAAATGCAATCACCTACTTGGAAAACCAAGTCATTAAAAAAGACAAAAACTTAAGATCTTCGTCTTCTGAGGGAAAAAATGCTTTTCTCACCCTAGCAAGCAACTTTGTAAGTCTTTGAGAAGAAAGGGCCTTTTTCTTTCCTCTTTTTTTTCCCATTCCAGCATTTCAAACCATGTGGGAACTAACTGTTCATCTTCCAGTACTACTACTTATGATAACATGAGAAAACATCTTGGTTCCTGAAGTCTAGAGTCCAAACTCATCTCTCCATCATGTTGATTACAGTAGTAAAACAGAATGATTTAGGGTTAAAATCCATCAGTCAGACATAAATACTATTTGGCTGTGACTCCTCACATCCAGGTATATATAACATAGAGCAACGAACCTGGAAACAATTTCTCAGCATAGAAGTGAATTGAAAGAGGAACAGTCCTTCCTCTGATCTAGTGCAATCTACCACATGGTCCAAAAGAAGGAAGTAAAAGTGGCATCAGGGATAGCAATAGTTAAGCTAAACCTGTAATAATCTTTTCAGGGTCTTTTACGTGACTTTACAGAGTTATTAGTGTAAAAGACACTAATACAAGCTAGGCAACCTGACCTGCACCTCAAGAGTCCCCGAGGCCCAGGGCAGCACTCTCAGCAGCCCCAGCCATGTGCTTACACACCCAGGGCTTGCTTGGAAACCTCTGGGAAGTTTGCTGCTCGGGGTCACTGTTCAAGCCAGTACTACTTGGTGCTTGCACGGTGAGCCTTTGAAGCTGGTGAGACCCAGGCTGCAGCTACACTGCACACAGGAACTAGATATGTAAAAATGCAAATCCTGCTTTCTGCTTAGGGCTTGGCCCATTTCAGCACAGACAGGGAAGGTCATTTATTTTTTATGAGATCAAGGTTCCCCATGTATGAATGCCAGGAACTGCCAGCTCATGACAACTGTAGATGTTTGTCATACATGGTTGTTTGCATTTTAACAAAACAAGTGTGATGTTGGTTTGTTTTACTTCTCACACCTGTGTGTTAAAAACTATCCACACAAAAAAATGTTTCCTAACCAAGGGACTCATAAATGAACTTTCAAGAGCATGATACATTCCCCTAAGCATGAAGAGTTCACATTCCCCCTACCTTTGCTGAGCACCCTACAAAGATGCTCAGCACATTTGTCCATGTTGCACTACAGAAAGCAGCTTCATTCCCCAGTTTATTATAACCAGGGCTCTGTGTAACCTTTTCAGAGGAAATTCTGAGCATCTTGTTCTGGTATGTCCTGACCTTTTCCATGCTGCAAGCTGTGCTTGTTGGCACCAGAAATTCCAGTACTAAGGAATATATGGAAAAACTTCCACAATCTCTTTGCTTACTTGAACTCAAAAGAAAATCTTGCATTTTAAAGTCAGAAATTATTAAAAAAAAGAAATTAAAAAACCCAAACCAAAACTGAGTTGTTTGGTTTTTTATAACAGAATCATCATGAATCCAGAGGTCAATCATAATCAGATGATAAAGTAATTTACCAGGCTACAGCATACTAGTACTAGGCTGCCAAAAGATATTAAGAGTATTTGATTTAAAATACCAATTTTCAGAATTTGCTTGTTGTTAGTCCTCAGTTGCCTGGCTCTCATTTGTAGTATGAACTGTAGAGATGACTTTGTGTAAAGGCCACCTGCTGTGCCTGTGGATTTCCCAGTGCCACTTGTGCATCCCTGACTTTCTCAGTGTGGTTCAACTGGCAGCCTGCAGGCAGGAGCCAACCCAAGAGACGTCTCTGCCTCTGACATTATGCTGGAGGAAAAAGCTCAGGGCTGTTGGTCAGAGAAACTCCCTGTGTGTCTGATAGCTGTGTCTAAAGAGACTTCAAATGCATGTCATTCCAGAGGAAACTTGTTTACATGGAATGGGTTAGGATGAGGGCTAAATTTCCTCCATGGAGCAGCCCAGCCCAAAGCTACCACCACAGGCTATGAGCACCATACTAAAGCTGAGATCTGATTAGTGGAGTTAGTTCACCCACAGACTAATCTGTGTCTAACCACTGCTAACCTGTTCTAGAGGCTACAGAATTACAGAACTGGATGAAAGGAAATCTTCAGAACCACATCAGCCTGATGACAATATAGAAAAGACTAGAACCTGTCAGGTTTAGTCAATGAAGCATCCATGCTAGAGGATATTTCTTGCATCACTCATGTTATTAGTCTGGTTGTGGTATGGTTTCCATGGAGCCTGGAAAACAACTCTTTTTCCCATCTTGACAAAATGGAAAATTTAGAAATGCAATTTTTTTTTTTTTTTTTTAAACCTGCACATCCTACTCTTTTAAACCTGCTACTCAATTTAAATGCTGCCTCTTAGCATCCATGCTAGAGGATATTTCTTGCATCACTCATGTTATTAGTCTGGTTGTGGTATGGTTTCCATGGAGCCTGGAAAACAACTCTTTTTCCCATCTTGACAAAATGGAAAATTTAGAAATGCAATTTTTTTTTTTTTTTTTTAAACCTGCACATCCTACTCTTTTAAACCTGCTACTCAATTTAAATGCTGCCTCTTGTCTGCAGGGGCTTGTATAACTCCATT